TTCCCAATTGCTTCCGAGACTCTCATTATGGTCGGGGTGGACGTCTTGGTTTGTGGTTGGTAACCCTTCTCTTTCACTTCACGAAATGCTACAATAGGGTGGTGGTGGAGCAGTAGTTTAGTCGCTATCACCGGCATGCTTTGGGCCCTACGATCCGAGGTTCGAGCCCAGCCACCACCACCATACTTTAGTGGTAGTTAACTTTGTTGTCGTTCGGTTCAACATCAGGATTAACCTAGTGTGGCCTTATATGGTTCAGCGCTCCAAGTCCAGGGGGGTTAGGTTGCCGGTTTCCGTCACTAAACAGTAGGTCCTCGTCACTATGAGATCCACCCCATCTGCTACTCATCATTCAAATGTGTTTAATCAAAAAAGCGTCTCAGATAATCTCCGTTCAGGATCCTGTACGTACTGCCTTCCCGTGTCGGTGATGCTTCCCTAATAAAGTTAGATTACGAAAAATCAATATCCGGGGTTATAACCGCGTCGGTGAGCCTCTAACAGTTTACCTATAGGTTTTGGCTAAAAACCCTGATTCCCAGCCACCCACGAATAGGTGTACGAACCACACTCATCCACACCTTGGTTGTGACAGTGGTGACCAGTTCGATTGGTTATTGAGGTCTACTGAACACCTTGAACCTTCAACCCTTTTCAATGGGCGTATGATCCAACCAACTGAATACCGGCCCCAAAATGGATTGTGAATTACACCCCACCCCCGTTTTCTTGCAGGTCAGACTTTGGTTAGTCAAAGACTTCGGTTGCGATTTCCCCAAGAAAATGTCCTTGCCTTGACCCTCGTAATCTGGCAGTATCGCGCCCACAAACAAATAAAACTTTCTTTTTTATGAAGAATATTGTACTGTGATTTGTCTGGCACACGGTCTGGATTTAAATGCGTGTTACATACACACATTTACTCAATCGATCCGAGACCTTAGCGTTCATACTGTTTTGAAAACAGTTTTTCCATCTCTTGAAAGGTTGGAAATCGGGATTTTCCGGTTCGTTCTTATAAGCCAACCGTGCATGATTCATTAACCCTCGAATTGAAACCTCAGGTCAGGCCGCAATGAGGATTAGGAAAGTGATTCAGAAAGATTAAATTAATTCAAGTCAAGTCAAGAAGCGGCTTTAATTCTCCCTATAGGGGATGAACATTCAGCTACTACACAATCACTCATCTTTGGAAATTACATGGTAACAAAACGTATGACGATACGTTACATATACAAAAAGCCAGTTTAGCAAAGATTTTGTCTAAGAGTCCTAATGACAAGATCAGCGTTGGTAAGAAACCGTGCCAGGTACGGTATTATAGAAGACTTGTATGTAGTGGTGCGTGCTGCTATATGTTTATACATGGAACGAGTGCTAGATGTGGAGATACATTGACTAAGATGAGGGTACAGTGGGTGAGATGGGTCAAGTAGTATTCTAGTAGAAAGTTTCTGGCATACCCTAAGGTGCTGTGAAATAATAAACTGCACAACATACTCAAGGGATATGCTGCTGTATCGACATACGTGTTTGATGAATGTGCGTATGAGTTTGAAGTCTTTGATTAAAAGACCCGGAAAAATAACAGGGGATGCATAAAGCCAGTGGGGAACGATACAAGAGAAAACAAAATGCCTTATTAAATGAGTTGGGGTAGATAGCAACTTCAAACGGATAATGTAAAAGGTGAGTTTTCTGACGTTGTGAAATGCCTCGATGACATGAGGAGACCAAGAAAAATTTCGGGAAATGGTGACTCCAAGATATTTGATGGAGCGTGCTCTGGAAACTTCTTCACCATTGATAATGACATGCTGACAAGAGTTCATCACGTCAATATATTGATCACCCTTCAATAAAGAAAATAAAACATCAATACACTTGGAAAGATTCATTCTAAGATTGTGTTGTGAAGACCAGTCGGTGAGCAGTGAAATATTCTGCATAATTTAGGGTACACGGAGGAATTCGAAAAAATCATGCCATGTACAACATCATCGGCATACTTAATGAGCAGACACTCATCAAAAGCAGGCATTGAACAAGAAGGGAGAGAGAATAGCACCTTGAAGAACTGCTTGAGTAGAGGGTAAAAGTGAGGAGTTACGACCCTTATATTCGGTAAACTGTGATCGACGGGTGAAATAATTACTTAACAGATTGATAAGCTCCGGCTGAATGCCTTTCTCAGAAAGAGTGTGAAGAAGTTTGCACCTATCAACACAAATAAAGGCATCACTATAATCAAAGAAACATACTCGAACAGCTTTACATTTCCTGTCCAAGGAGGAAGAGATATAATGAATAAGGGATGCCAACGCATCAATGGTTGACCTGGAACTGCGGTAGGCAAATTGATTGGGATCAGGTGCATTCAGCTGGGGCAGCATCTTTTGTAGTAAAATCTCTTTCCATGACTTTCAAACCTACAGAAGTGCAAGCAATCGGGCGAAATTTGGAGGATCCCTATTTGGGTACTGGTGTGATTGAAGCCACTCTCCAGCAGTCCGGAATGCAATGTTTAGTAAAACACAGGTTGAGTAGGTTGGTGAAAACAGGGGAAAGGGAGGCTGCACATTCTTTGAGCACAACAGGTGTCAGTCCATCAGGA